CTGGCACATGAAGGAACATGAGGAAGTCTGCGGTGTGTCCTTTACAGCAAAGTCCTCGGGGAAACACACTGGGGTTCGCTGTGCCCTGGGCTATACACATCTAGATGCCAAGATCCAGGTGAAGCCTATAACTGGAACAGGGTGACTATTCTGCACTTTGACAAATTAAATAATTGCTATAGACCAAAAGGAAATACTGAGGGACAGTTAGAACTATTTTATGTCCTGTTAGGGAAATCTCACAATGAGGATCAAAATTTAGGCTTAACAGCCTGAAGTCTGATTGTGACTGGATTTAGTTTCAAAATTACCAGACTTAACAGCATTTGTTTTCATTCAGAATGCTTTCAGCAGGTTAGGACTTAGTTATCCCCACCTAGAGAAGACAAAGACGGTTAAAATCACATTTCTGAAATTGTATGAGTTAGATGTCTACCTGGTGGGAAAAACAGACGACTCCCTGTCTGGCTGGCTAAGAGGCGTCTGGTGGGCTCACCTTTCCTTGCATTAGTTCTGCAGCTGCACCCTGGCGCAACAAAGAATGACCTTCCCCAAGAGCACAGGACCATTCTCATTCAAGGATGTATAAATAACCACCCTACTAGGCTGAAACCTGCCGGATGCCTCACTTGTCCAGACAGACTCACTAGCTATGCCGTTACTTACAAATAATTCATTCAAAACTCATGCAGCACCTACTAAAGAGGGAGATATAGCAGGTGTGAAGAGTACCACGAAGATGGATGGGAAGGTCACTGTTTCTAAGGAATTAACAACGTCATGGCAAAGAGAGGGGAGCAAAATGTACATAAATATACCTCCATAAAAATATTTTAAAAATTATCACCATCAAAAACAAATAAATATGCATGATGGGCTACTCAATACCATCCTGATTCGAAACTGCTTCCCAGCACAGAGAACCTTTACTCTATAAGATGCCATAGAGCATCAAAAATATTACTTTCTAAAAGAGACATGGGATATTGTCTGGAGCTGGTTACATTTGAGGCTGTTGCTCTCCTTTCACACGTTTTCACTTTTCATGTGTAGTGCTGGGCATGGGGGCTGGAAAGGTACTACTGACTTCATTTGCACAAAATAAGCTATTCTGCATCCTGCCAGCTGCTGCCTGGGTGAGTCCGTCAGTCACAGCTCCTTCCCAGTATTTCACCTTCAGTTTATTTTTGACAGATTTTTACCTTAATTGACTTATTTTAAAACCTCCCTTCTTCCTCTGTCGTTTGATTTTACTGGATCAGCTGGGAAATCTTTTGGTTGCTAACTCCTCTTCTGTGTGTAATGAGCTGAGTGTACCTGCATGTTAACACCTACGGCAGACTCATCGCATCACAGATGCCGAGCTGTTCCTCAGTGGTGCCCACGGGTTTACAGCGCAGGCTGGATGATCAGACATTCAGGACGTTCCCAAAGCGATGGTTTAGACTGTCGAGCTAGAGGTGCCTTGGCCTGTATCTCAGCTGTGCCGTTTATGGACAGCTTCCTTAACCCTGAGCCTCAGTTTCCTCAGCTGTAGAATAAAAATCATTCTACTGGACATAACTGAGGTCAGGACTAAATGAGATAACACACCAAAATACCTAAACCATTGTGTTCGATTTGGGCAGTGAACAGGACTTCACTTCTCCATTCCTTCATCACAGTAGCTTCATTATTTCTGTTACTTTGTAGTCTACAAGAAAGCAGGTTAAAAAGAACATGGTGGTCTCCTGACATCACCTTTGTAATCTGCTAACAAGTTAGCTGAAATATCTTTACTGGATGATGTTTAAAATGTAGGGTGTTTAGTGGCAAGTGGGACTTCTAGGTCACAACAATGAGAACAAGAGATCCCGCCTGGAGACCTGAGCAGGTCCGGATGAGGGTGCCAGCTCTTGTGGACCTCCAGCCCTGAAGTTATTAGCTAAGTACAGAGAGGAGGAGGTCCCTGTGCCTTAAATTTTCTTAAGCTCAAGATATGGCATTGACTTTACTGAGGTGGGTAGCAGACAGTTTTTCACTGAAGGTCACTGACTTTTATATTACTTAGGATATCATAATGTGATATTTTGGAGGGCTTGGTTTTTTTTAGGACATTTTTTCCATTTCACTCTCCCATTAGAGTGTCCCACTTCAGAAGCTACTCATATTAAAGCATTTACTTTAGAATACTCAAAAGACTAGGAAAAAACATGTGCATATACATCTAAGTGTGGTTATACACTAACACACACTAATACATTTGGGCTAGACAATACCTAGAAAATGATTCAGCTTTGGAAACAATGCAAAAGAGATGACGCTATGTTTAAAGAATTTAAAACAAAAATAAATTCTGTTTTCCCAAAGAACTCTTATGTAATAAGGCTAAATAAATTCTATTCCAAGACATTATTGAAAATATGTCCCCAGGATTTAACAGAATCTTGATATATAGTAGGTAATCAATAAACCATTACTAAAATAAATAAATGGGTTAAAAATCTTGTTTAAATTTTACAATCAGATAAACTCTGCAAATAAAAATTACTCTAAGCTGCCAAGAAAGTGAAGTGGCAGAACTAGTAATAAAGTTCAGGTCAATACATTTGTACTTCCTACCAACCATTTTTCAAAATGTTACAATGATCTGGGACATTATCATGGCCCTGACTCTGAGATGGAAAAACTGAGAGACAGAAATGAAGCCATTAGGTCCAGACATCCAACAAGGCAGATTTAGTTCAGGATTTACTGTTCAGCCTAGGATACGTTTACTTTCCTTCTCTGAATTTCCATATTCCTTTTCCTCGAATGCGGCTGTTGAGTTCCTGATGAAAAGTTATCAGGAAGGAAGTCTTCAGGAGAAAAACCTGGTACTGACTTGCCAGACCCAGTAACTGAGGCTTCCACACTTCTCAGCAACTGTACACTGGTTTTCAGACAAGCACTACTGAATATTTCAAAAGCAGCCTAAGATGAAAAGCAAGGCAGAGCAGTTTCACTGCAGCAGACCCCAACGACAACGGATTCTCTAGTGCGATGAACTCTTTGTAAAAGTCACATTTTCCCCGACCCCATACAGCATATTCCAATAAAGTGAAACCCAGTTGCAGGAAAACAACACTGCACGTTAAAGAGAACCATGACGTGGCAGATAATTACTTAGTATACATACACCATTTAAAATCTCATATCTTCAACCTCTGCCTCATCATAGTATACTTCACAAGTTGAGCAACATGCTTAAAATCATTCCATTGTAATGTGCAGCCTTATTTAGCACCCTTTTGGGTTTAGATACATTGGAAAGAGTTAAAAATTTCCTTGTTTAACTATTTAAAAAGCGTTAAGAATTTTTCTATAATTTCATTAAAAAAAAAGATTTAAGTCTCTCAAATGTGAACTGTTACAGTCTGTTGAACACTCACCTAAACCAGACTTTTTCAATCGTTTTAAGTGCTGACTTGTTTGTTTTCCAGTGGGAGATTTTTGCCCATGTTTCATTTCTTTATCTGAACTGTCTGCTTCACCATTTTTAGACTCGGATCCTAAAAAAGGAAATAGTTATTATGTCATTATCTTCCTCTTGCTGTCCTTGAAAAGAAAAATCTAAAATTGTTTTAAAAACCATAGATACAATCTCCTTTTCTAAGAGTTAATACACTACCTTTGGCCACAATCTGATTCCTCTACTGGATATAAAGAGAAAAGCCCAATAAATCAATCAAACAGAACAAAAAGCAAGAACAGATGGCCTAATAGTGGAGTCAAAAACACGTTCACTGATCTGATAGCTTTTGAAAGAAACACTCGGCTCTTTTGTAAAAATACACGAATAAGCTTCGACAATACTATATGCTCGGAGACGATGCAAGACTGAGACAGAAAGATGAAGGATGAAGAGAGGCTTGAAGGGAGGGAGAGACCATGCCTTTATGAATAACTTTATGTTGAAGCTGGAACCGAAAACGCAAACATCAATCTGTAATAAATAGAATGGTACACGGTTGATAAAGTGACAGAAGGTAAATTAGAAGAAAAGGTCAGGGCTGCACTGAGGTGAGAAGAATGTTGCCAGAACACAAAAACTAATAAAGGATTCCTGATTTTGCAGCAGAGGACTGGAAAGCAAATTCACACTCACGCAAGAACGGCTTTTGATGGTATTACACATCAGCATGTGGTCCACTATTAAAGTTCAACATTCAAACAAAAGCCAAAGCAGCAACAAAAATACCCACCTAGCAGTACCACACATTTCCTCACATCTATGGCATTAACAAAGGAACTCCTTTGATGAGAGCGAGCTGGTGCGCTTTCTCTTTTTCAGAGAGCAAAATACCCTATTATTTTTAAATCACCGAAAGAGTCAAAGGTATAAACAAAAATTAAATGAAACCTCAAGTGGAAATATTACTCAGTTTCAGAGAAAATTCATGACACCTCTCTCGGTGAGGAAGTCTCCTCCGGGGAGAAACTGGCCAAGCATACAGTATTTTAGCTCTTTACCTGAAGGCGAATCCGACTGCTCGTCAGACACCTTTAATGGTGTCAAAACAACACGAGGAACAGTCTTGTTTACCATCATTGAGACTCCATTTCTTCTTTTCTGCTGCTGCCTCAAAGCCTATGAAACATGATCATAAAATATAACATACAAATAGAGTCAAAACGATTTCTCAGAATTGAATTAAATGACCCACTTGCCCATCGGGAGATAGAACCTCTTAAGACTCTTAAATTCCACAGAGTCACTAATTTGTCAGGACTCTTCATCCTCCCCCCTTATGTCATTTTCCCCTCAAAAGCATAAAAATTAGGCTTTGGCAAAGGGGATCAACCCGAGACCATTTTCGGTATCATTTGGAAAACAAAGCGGCACTTCCAGGTTTGTTCTACCTGAGCAGTGTGGTGTGAAAGCCCCTGGAATTTGAAACCATGGCTCCCAAGGAAAATAAATGTAAAATAAATGTTTCAAGACCGGGATAAAAATATATGTGTCTGCACTTCTCTTGCAGGTGCGTCCTCTCCAGTGTGCTGCTCAGTCAATCAAGTTAACACCGAGTGTCATCAGTATGTACAGCAGGTAAGGACTACAGTATTGATGCACTCACTCAGCCGTGGGGAGCGCTGCACAAAATCACTGAACATGGCAGGAATCATTTATTTCTGTGAAGGGAATCAGTCCTAATCTTGGAAACCTTGCAGCACTTGGCTTCTGTCTGCTTGACTTTGGGCATTAACCTTCAGAACACGAACATGACGGCATTCTGGCAAATCCAGGGGAAAAAAAAAATTGATACGAGAATAAATCTCTCCAAATGGGAGCGCTTTGTGTTTCATAAATGAATCAACCATGGTGATGATAATGTAATAAAAAGACACTGAAAAGTTTTGAAATACAGCTTATCTAGCTGATCGCTTTACGCAGAAAATTACGTGTAATAAAAAGGATCTTAAGCACACACAATGGAAGAGACGTTAAATTCACAGTTACAGGCGTGCTCAAACTCCTCAAAAGGTTAAGAGGCTGACCACAGACAGTCTCAGATCTTTTAATTCCTGGTTACTGTGTAATTTCCACCAATTTTATAACATCTCTGTTACTTGATTAATGTTCTTTGACCAATAGCTGTCACAATCTCCTGAAATACTGCATTGAATGTGTATCCCCTTGCTGACAAAAACGATACCATTTTATTTGAGAAGGGTTTGAGCTGAATGTCCAGCTTGCTGATCGTAAGATTTAGCAATCAAATAATCATAGAAGTGAAAATTTAAATATTATTTAATTGACAGAAGGCATATTGAGATGAAATTTAAAGCCAGATGGGAAAGTGAATGGCTTGGGGAATCTATTACAAATGATACTGTTGCTAATAATAACATGAGACATCTTCCCTTCAATTCTTATATTTATTGAGCTTTTTATCAAGTACCAGGTCCGGTGGGGGTACAGGAAGTACGAAGGTGAGTAAGGTGCCAACCTCCTCACCTTTAGCTTGCTGTCTATAATATACTAATAAAACATGTGTGCTATAAAATACTTACGACATTTACTCTTCCTTTCATCAAGGTGTGTACAGAATTGCATAAAGCTCTCCAGCCTTGTGGAAGAACTCCAAGCACTTTATAGACATTACCTATCAACTCAATACTAAAACAAGGAGGCAATGCAGCACCTTAAATTACAATTAAGCCTATCTCTATGGACTGTGGAAGACTTTACAAAACAATTAAAACCTGTATAAACAGTGATTAGTTTTTAGGAGTCTATACATCATAGATTTCAACCTTTTCCCTTGGCAATCCAAACAGGCATGTGTTCATTTTATGTCAGGCTGGGGAAGTGTATTTTGGAAAACGTTGATTAAGAAAAACAGAGATGAAATAATAAGATGCCTAGAAGCTGGAATCATAAAGTCAAAGATGACATGCCTTTTGATAGCATTTGCGGTAAATAATAATTAAAGTAACAAAAATTCTGTCCTCAATTTTTAGAGCTGAGAAAGCTCTGCTATAGCAAAATTAGTAGTTGGACAGAAATAAACCATGACTTAAATAATATAAAAATAAGAAAAACTCATTATTACTTTGAATTTTAAGGAGTCAAGCTGGAGCCAAGGTAAGGATAAAGAAATGTTAGTCATTATTGAGCCCATATCAATGGTCTCAGTGATTTTTTTCCTGAATACGTATTTCCTACTCAGAAATGTGAATAATACTTCTTGATACAACATTCTTTTAAATACTGAAATGCAACACTGCGTGCCTGTACTTGACCAAACTATGTCTATCATTTACACAAATGTATTTCTAAGTATATTAAAAATACACACACTTGGGGGAGTGTGTATTAGCTTCATGGTAGAGTGCATGCTTAGCATGTACAAGGTCCTGGGTTCAATCTCCAGTACCTCCACTAAAAAACACACAAATAAACCTAATTACCTCTGCCCCACCCCCACCCCCTAAAAAACTACACATACTTTTTTTGCTTCACCTCTGAAAAATAAGCATTATATTTTCCCCCAAGTAACACTTTTAGGGGCAAATAAGCAAAAGTTGGGAACTCTTTGGTTACTATGATGTTGGTCACAGAAGTAAAGCCATAAGCTACAAGGTAAACTCAGGAGTATCTGAGTTCAGCTCTCACAAGCGGCACCTTGGGGCCATAGACATTTTAGGCTACCTTGATGATTCCGATTCACTTTCTAGAAAGCAGGATTTACTTGACTGTGGACACTGGGGATATCCTCCAAGCAGATCAGAATGTGGATGGAGGCGGAAAAAAAACCAACGTTGACTCATTTGAGATGCCTGGGATGGTTTGGGCCAGCTCCCAACAAGAGAACTCTGGCACTCATTATGTCCACAAGGCAGGTAGCTCAGAGAGAGATTTCTGGTCCCTCACTGCAGACCATGCTGTTCTGCAAATAAAGACGCTAGCTGTTTATGGTTTGTTTGTTTTCGATTATGTAACTGTATTCTGCAACTATGTGCACATTGGCCACACACACATATGTTGTGTGTCTCCTTTTCACAATCCCTCGGAAAATGTACCATGCTTTCTGGATCACACTGGCTGAGGCAAGACAATGACAAGGCGGAGGCTGATGAGTGGGAACGCATAGACTCCACGAGGGGTGGTAGTGATGACTCAAGAGAAGCAAAACAACAGGATTTTCAGATGAGTTTTTCTACTTTAAATGATGTGCCAGACAAAGCAAAGAGGATTCTGAGCCAAATTCAGCCTGAGGGCACCAATTTCTGACACCTACTAAATGGCATTCCCAATGTTCCTCACCTCCCCCAAAATAAATGCATCCAATCACCGTCCAAGAGAGGTATTAAAATCCCCCTCTTCTAACGTGCTGACAGAGAGGACCAGGGGCTGCTGCAGAGTCATCTTAATGCCTGTGAGGTACAGATGCAGAGTCAGAGAAGGAACTGGCTGAGCAATGCGGGGTGAATTACTTGGGCAAATGTTCCTGTAAAACAGACAGCAGCACTGGTAAGGTGTTTTAAATAGGAAATCCACAGGGCTATTTTTCTGCAAAGGCTTTTGGGGGTTGATCAATGACCACCTGGCCTTCTCTCGGTAAGTCCTTTGAGGCCATGACTAGTGTGTCTCTTCACAGTAGGGTACACCTGTATCCCATGTCCTTCACTTTGAACTTCAGCTAAAATTCCAAGAGAACTAGAAAATATCTATTTTTATGTTCCAAGGGAACTAGAAAATTCCTATTTTATGTTACAAATACAGTAGAAGTTAAACACAGCTTCACTTGTAACGATCTAAGTTTGGGTATCCCAGTCTGGAAAATACACATCCATGCACTAGATTAAGAAATCAGGATTATGAAGGCCACTTTAGATGGCCATGGAAGGTTTGTTCTGCACAAAGATAACCTGAAAGGGGAGATTCATTTGTTGTTGTGACAACTTGGGGCGGAGGTGGCTTTTTCTATTCCACACTGAAGATCTTAATTAGCTAGTGGTGGCCCTGTTGATCAATCCGGAACATGGTTTTACTCTGACACTGATATTATACAGTAAGTCTTACTATACTAGTCTAGATTCCCTTTAGGAGGATGATATCAACAAGGCACCTCCAACTCTTCGACCCTTAGCTCCATACTGGAACGCTAATGGAATGTCTTACTGAACGACTTTAAATCCTAATTTCACACCTAGAAAGAAGGAATACTGAAACCTAAATAAACAAGCAGATGGCAAGTATAAATGCAGTGTACTACGAAGGATTATACCTTCAAGCTGCCCACATGTATAATATCCTCATGTGCATAGTACACTGACTACACTGGACTTGCCAAGTTTAATACTTCCATGTACCGTTCAGTATGAAAGAAAGGTACTGGCTTACACTTGCAAAGTAAGTTACTTTTTAAAGGAAACCAACACAACAGAGCTAAATCAGTCTGGGAAAGTAAAGGTCGTATCACACTTGCATTACAGTTCTGGCTTTAAGAGAAAAGCGAGAAATCAAAAGATGCTGAATGAGCGTGCTTTCCTCTAGAGATGCCTCACAATATTCTCTCCTACAAAGAGACAAAAAAAATCTTCAGATGAACATTTTATTTTTTAAACAGGAAGCTCGTCAGATAACTTTGAAAATACGGGACAGTTCTCATTTCTGACCTAATGGAAAATAAAATAAAACCTAAAACTAGAGCCTATTAGGTTAACTTGGAATTTGCCTGAACAAGTTAATACCTTCTTTGTTTTGACAGAGAAATAATACTAACAATGTAACTTAAGAAAGCGCTGGATGCATTAAGTCCTTCACTGAAAACTCTGAAAATATCACAGGCTGTGAATGCCGAAATAATTAGAAATACACACATATGTAACAGCTGGCTGTGTCAGGCACCAACAACGTGCACTGTTGTTAGTAGGCTAAATGTCAACGCCCACGTTCAGAAACTGCCATCATGCAAAATAACCTTTCGATTTTCACAGTATTGGTCAAACATATAAAGCTAACGCAAAATACCAGGAATATGTCTGCTCTGCGATATAAAGAGGGAAAAGAATCTGCAACTTTATGAATAAAATCTACCCCCCTAAATAAATAATGAAGTCAAATAAACCAACAGGAACAACACAGAAAGGTCCCCACCATGTTAGCTCCCATCCTAACAGACCTTGTTCCTCTTTGATCATTCATTCAATTCTGTTGTTTAAAAACTTCCAAAATTAAATCTTTCTTCATTATCCTTCTGTGAAATCCAAAATGTAATCATTTCACACTTTAGGATCATTACAACTAAAATACCAAGGCAGAAAGAAGACAGGGAACAAGGTAATAATCAGCAATCTGCTAATCCCCAGAGGCTTCTGAATGTGCTTACTGCGAACATCCTATTCAGAAAAATAACTACTGAAATAACAACGTGTTATTCATGCAATTACACCGAACATATGATGTTAACTAATGTTTTGATATTAGAAAGTTAAAAGGACCCAAATATTAGAAGCAATGGAGATCCACTATGTCAAGAGCCAAGGGGCATTACAGCCTCCATACTGTCCAGCCTATAATTAACTGCAATCCACAGCAGTGCAGAGTAAGACACCACTCTCTGTGGCAACGCGCATGCTTTGGTGGGGAGGTGGGGGCTTCAGAGCTGGGAAATTATGTCTGGCTTACTTTGCATGAGGAATGTTTTAAATTATTTTTCTTCACTATACTTATGCTTATAAAGCTACTGGATTTTGGTTTTGGTTTTTTTTTTTCCCGCCTACTTCTTTCTAAGAATTTACATTGGACAGTGTGTGATTGAACTACAAAAGCCTAATTGACTCAAAATACACTTCTCGTAAAATGATAAAAGCTAATATATCTGAGTGCCTACCTTAAATATGTGCTGATGCTGCACACAGCAGCCTATGTTAGGAAATGATGTTCTTAGTGACTACATTGTTATTGGTTTCCTTGCACCATACAAATAGTCAAAAATGTAGATTTCCTTAGATAACATCAAAAATTCATCTTCTCTATTACACAGCATATGCTGAAAAGGATTGTAAGTTAAGAGGGCAGAATCTGAAACTACGACTCTGGGTTCAAATGTCATCTCCAAGACTGACTCACTGGACAATCCTGGACAAGTTTTCTAACTCCTCTTGGCAGCAGCTTCCTCATTTGAAAAAATATTTTAAAGGATTACTTTAAAGGATTTGTATGAGGATTAAATGGCATAGTGCCTGTTAAATGCAGAGCATAATTTCTAGGATTCAGAAAAGTAAATGACAGCTAATGTAATTGTTATTAGGGTCATTTAGCTGGCCTTACGTTAATGAGATTATGATTTGTGCCTGTATGTGTACACACAAAACATATTCACAACCACAGAACACATGTATATGGATATCTATGGATAAGTACACTTATAAAGAATTCTCCATGGTCATAGCCATTCAACTCTCAAAAAGAAAAGAAAGCTGCAGATTTGCTGAGGCTGCTACAATTTAAAATGCCGCATGTTCAGTCAATTTTTGAAATGCTGTCTTAAGAAATTCAGCAATTACAGGGAATCTGGGCAAAATTCTGCAAGAACAGCTTTTCTTCTAAATGTGTTTCCAATATGAATTTGATTATTAATCAAATATTAGCATACCTGCTATATTTTGCCATATTGTCTGAGTAACTAATTTGTTACTTGGTTATACAACAAGAAGTTTTAAGAAATTAACAGATAGCTCTTTCACATATTAAGAAGATTTCAGGACAGTTTTCTTAAAAAAAGGCTTAGATCCTAAGGAAGCGAGCAACATTTTCCATGAACACATGCCTTGCAACAAAATGAAACAAAAATTCCCACTAACTCAAAGTTGTGTAATGTTTTAGTCATCGTAAAAAATGTTCAAATGATATGAAACCAAAATGAAGAAAGTAAAAAATAATGAGACATGACAATACAGTGATCTGAATGTTTATCTTTGCATTCGCATATGGGGAGACTTCACAGCGCACACATTTTCTCAATCACTGCTCTTCAGAAGTATGAGTTCCATTTATGATCACATCTGTGTTTCTTAAACTAGCTTGGCTACCAGTATTCAGTGTCGTACCTTTTGTTTCATCCTGGTTGGTTAATTTGTTGCCTGCATCCTATTTGCCACCTGAATCAGCCTTGTTCCAGGCTTCTCTACCATCATCCATCTTTTATTTCATCAATTAAAAAAGGATCCCAACACTAAATTCATTTCTGATCTTTGGCATCTAAAGCATTTCACAAGAGCGATGATACAAATGGCAAGTTTAGCCAAGAGTATTTGACCTACAAATGGTGAAACAGTTACTACCTTAAATATGATATTAATGAACGGAAATGCTGCATTTTCAGTAATTGATACAGAGTAAAAAAGTAACATAATTCAGTACAAAAATGTTAAGTTCCTTTCCTAAGTTTCTTTGTTTGAAATAGAGGAGTAGGTGGAGACATTCTAAATTTAGGAGGCTGGATGTGAGTATTAAGTAGCTTCACAGGTTGGTGGGACTTTAAAAAACTTTTTAACTGTATTAAAAACATGGTGTCTCTTTCTTTGTTATATGTATATACCACTAGACTGACACCTCTATTCCTAGACTTGGTAAAGGTCACCAAGGGGTAAAGCAGAGGGGGTTGTCACAGAAGAATAAAGATTAAAAAATATGAGGAAAGCAGTTAAACAAAGGAAAACCATGAATTTAGGGTTAAATAGGTGAGCTTTCCATTTATTGGCATTATTACTATCACAACCATGCAGTGTCCCCATCC